CGCCTGTTTTTGTACGGAATTCACTATACTGTACTTGTCCCACAGTCGAGAAATTACGCTTTTTTTATTTGCCCAACATTCGAGCAACTTGAATTCACTATTGATGGCAGGAGCAGACTGACTTGCTTAGGTGTCGTTTTTTAGGCCTGCCACGCCCATGTCTCATTGCAACCCCGCCCGTTGACGGTACTTGTCCCACAGTCGAGAAATTACGCTTTTTTATTTGCCCAACATTCGAGCAACTTGGAAAATTGGCCCCCGTGCCCAGTCTATCGTATTCGCCATTTTGTCTGTTCATTGAGATAATGTCTCAGAGCATTGCTCACGTGCTTAATGATTGTGAGTTTCTCTGTAGGCGCGCACAAAAACATGCATAATGTGAAGTGTCAATGTGATTAGCTGTGTGTGTGTGTGTGTGTGTGTGTGTGTGTGTGTGTGTGTATGTGTGCGTGTGTGCGTGCGTTCGTGCGTGCGTGCGTGCGTGTGTGTGTGTTGCTTGTGCTAGTCTGGACTAATGCCGTTCTACAGTGCAACCCCACTGAGATGTCTTGCCAAAGTTTAACACGGATATCCCACTCGGACACAGTAGACTCCCAGCCGACAAGTCCTTCTTTTGTTCCCAAGCGCCAGGCAGGGTAACAACAACTACCATCTTTTAACTTATTTCGGTATGACGTAGCATAGAATCAACAACAGCTGTTTCTGATTGGTCCCCGAGAACCCCAGCTGGACCGCCATGGTAGTGTGGCAACACACTTTATGTCTGGTAGTCACGTGTCTTGACATAATTATGCATCTATAGTGGGTGTATTTATAGCTCTTGGGCACTACACATACGTCGCTCAAGACTCGAAGCCTTCTGTGTTGCTGCAGATCGGTGATGTCCGACGGACTATTAGGACGGCACTACATGTATATTACACCAATGAAGATCCGGGTTGAGAATAGGTTTTCAGCAACCCATCCTTGTCGTAAGAGCCGACTATGCTTGTCGTAAGAGGTGACAATGCTTGTCGTAAGAGGTGACAATGCTTGTCGTAAGAGGCGACAATGCTTGTCGTAAGAGGCGACTAACGAGGTCGGGTTGCCAGGCTCTCTGACTTGATTGATACATGTCATCGTATCCCAATTGCGTGGATCGATGCTCATGACGTCAATCACTTGAACTGGCCCAGACACAATTATTTACAGAACGTAGTCATATAGCTGGAGTATTGCTAAGTGTGACGTTAAACAACAAACAAAATATATTTTTGGTCTTCGCCTTTTACGACCAACACTCTCAGAGTGTTGGAACCATTTCTAACCCGGGGCCCCTTTGGGGTATGAACGCGGCTTCAAACGCACCTTACTCTCTCAGTTTTGAACGCTCACTTCTGCATATATTAAAACATCTACCGGTATATGTTATTTTGATCACACATCAACTTGACACTGAAGCACGTGCACACCTTCCCAGCCCGACCGCCTCCGTGGTCTAGTGGTAGAGCGTCCGCCCGGGGTTCGATCCCAGGCCGCGTCATACCAAAAGACGTTAAAAGATGGTACTTGTTACCCTGCCTGGCGCTCTGCATTAAGGGGTTAAAACAAGGACTGGTCGGCTCGGAGTCAGTATACTGTGTCTGAGTGGTGTATACATGTTAAACTGCGGCATGGCATCTCAGTGAGCTAGCACTATAAATCGACTAGTACAAGCAGCCACACAAACACACACACGTACACGCACGTCGCTATATAAGTGCAATAATCTTGGACGCGACGTTAAACCCCATTTCACCTCACCTCACCTCACCTCACCTCACCTCACCTCACCTTCCCAGCCGAGGCAGGTGATTTCGGTCGCATATATTCCCAATAATTTTCAGAAATAGCACAGGTATGTAGACAGAACATCCCAATGATAAAGAACATGGCCGCCTTTGTTTATTGTCTGTGGTAACCTGTTTATCTGTCTTATACTGCATCACGCGAGATCACGTCGGATAGGGTTTGGTTCCTGAAGTATCCACAACCTTTTTCTGTCATTAACATGTGGGGATAAAAATGTAGCACGTGATTACTGTGTTTACAGATGCACAACACCAGGAAATAATCGTGGGTAAATAGGTGTATAGTTGCACACCACCAGGAAACGATCGTTGGTAAACAGGTGTACAGTTGCACACCACCAGGAAACAATCGTTGTTAATAGGTGTATAGTTGCACACCACCAGGAAATGATCGTTGTTAATACGTGTATAGATGCATAACACCAGGAAATGATCGTTGGTAAATAGGTGTATAGATGCACACCACCAGGAAATTATCGTTGGTAAATAGGTGTATAGTTGCACACCACCAGGAAATGATCGTTTGTTAATAGTGTATATATGCACACCACCAGGAAACGATCGTTGGTAAATAGGTGTAGATATGCACACCACCAGGAAACGATCGTTGGTAAATAGGTGTATAGTTGCACACAACCAGGAAATGATCGTTGATAAAAAAGTGTATAGTTGCACACCACCAGGAACTGATCGTTGGTAAATAGGTGTATAGTTGCACACCACCAGGAAACGATCGTTGGTAAATATGTGTATAGATGCACACCACATGGAAATGATCGTTGGTAAATAGGTGTACAGTTGCACACCACCAGGAAATGATCGTTGGTAAATAGGTGTATAGTTGCACACAACCAGGAAACAATCGTTCGGAAATAGGTGTATAGTTGCACACCACCAGGAAATTATCGTTGGTAAATAAGTGTATAGTTGCACACCACCAGGAAATTATCGTTGGTAAATAAGTGTATAGTTGCACACAACCAGGAAACAATCGTTGGTAAATAGGTGTATAGTTGCACACCACCAGGAAACAATCGTTGATAAATAAGTGTATAGTTGCACACCAACAGGAAATGATCGTTGGTAAATAGGGATATAGTTGCACACCACCAGGAAATTATCGTTGGTAAATGGATGTATAGATGCACACCACCAGGACACAATCGTTGATAAATAAGTGTATAGTTGCACACCACCAGGAAATGATCGTTGGTAAATAGGTGTACAGTTGCACACCACCAGGAAACAATCGTTGTTAATAGGTGTATAGTTGCACACCACCAGGAAATGATCGTTGGTAAATAGGTGTAAAGTTGCACACCACCCGGAAATGATCGTTGTTAATAGGTGCATAGTTGCACACCACCAGGAAATGATCGTTGGTAAATAGGTGTATAGTTGCACACCACAAGGAAACAATCGTTGGTAAATGGGTGTATAGATGCACAACACCAGGAAATGATCGTTGTTAATAGGTGTATATATGCACACCACCAGGAAATGATCGTTGGTCAATAGGTGTATATATGCACACTACCAGGAAATGATCGTTGTGAATAGGTGTATAGATGCACACCACCAGGAAATGATCGTTGTTAAATGGAGCTGAAAAGTCATGGACCGAACCACGTTTTCTGGCTGGACAGTTTGTCAGACCAATCATGTTTAGCGCGGATGTTTAGCGCGGTTTTACGCGTGTTCTGTATATATTTACATTTACATTTAATAGACCATATGAGTGAAAAGTCAGTGTTTGTTTCATCGGGGTCAAACCTGATACGAGTGGATACTTCAAAATGTGGTCCTTTGGAATGAGTGGGTGTGGTTATACTCTGACTTTAGCAATATTCCAGCAATGTCACGGCGGGGAACATCATAAATGCTTTGGAATATATGTAAAGTATTCACGGTTTTTTTTGTAAATATATATATAATTAATTTATAGAATGAAGGTTTATTGCGCAGCATAATCGAGGATGGGGCGAGTTAGCACTTGTGTTTTCATCCAGTTAATCACAATGAACAAATGTAGAATTTAAAAATAATGTTATATGATCAGAGTCATTGATGGGTATCAACCTGTTTCGTCTATTTTTTTAAAACAGGTAAGCAGTAGCAATTAGACAACCCATGCAGGTAGAGTCAAGGATGAGTGACTTTGCTGGGTAGACAAAGTAGTTATTGCATCATTTATTTATCTTAGCGGTTATACGTGAGTAAGGGGCGGTCGGGTAGCCAAGTGGTTAAAGCGTTCGCTCGTCACGCCGAAGACCCGGGTTCGATTCCCGACATGGGTACAACGTGTGAAGCCCATTTGCTGGAATATTGCTAAAGGCGGTCGAAAACAATACACACTCAATTGAACTATGGCTATATTTATTAAAGTATTTGATTTTGCGCCAGCAAGCACTTCTGTGTGACAAATGCGATATACAATATATTCCAGCGATATAATGACTGTCTGGACCAGGCTATGCAGTGATGGAGCATCGATCGACGCGATGTCGGCATTGTTGTTGTTTATTTGTGCTGCGTTTGATTGTGTTGATGTTAGTTGTATGTATGTGTATGTTTAATAAGTTGTCGTGAATGCTATAGAGAATGAATGCTTCACTTTATAAATGTAAATGCAATGATTGTGTTGTGATAACAAATTTATATGGAATTCAACAGCGTCTGTTTTGTCCTCTGTCCCAAATGCGCAGTGATGGACTGCATCGCTGTGACATCACCCCATGGGGTGCTGGGGATACATTTTCCCCGCGTTCCCACGGTGTTATTTGTTAAAAATTGTAACCATAATTTCCCGTCAGCTCGGTACCATGGATAAATAATCCCGACAAACAAAGAAATATTTATTGGGTGGTCTCGAGACACGGCAAAAAATACTTTCTTTGGCTTCAGTATAAGGGAGGTAATCCCCAGTCTTTTTAATGACTGGGCTCATGTCTAGTAGATGGCGCGTACCAACAGTGGAACCAGTTTACCGCCTTTATCTCGGAAATGTCCGAGTAAAACCGATCCATACTGTTAGTTTTCAAATACATTTTTTTAAGTAGAATATATTGTATTATAAATGATATTGGACGCCATGATATTTCTATGATAGTTTTGTTATTCTGACCAAAAACAGCTTGCGTATGTTGATTATTTTTCTAAAATCTCGTTGCGAGCGAGAAGTGCATCAGCAAGCGTTTCCCCCGCCAAAAGCCGGGTGCTCTTACGACAGATAAAGGACGACATAAAAACAATTTGTACCAAAAGCACAATGTCCGAATCTGAGCCAGAACCGGACAGTGGTCCTGAGGATGAACCAATGGATCAATCTGTAAGTATTCTTCACAAAGCTTTTAGCTGCTATTTTAGAAGAGTTTATTAAAAGACTGTGGTCATGTTTCCTTTTGTGTTGTGCTTCACATGGGGATGTTGTTCAGTTTTCGATCATTCGATTTTCATGATCATTGTTTGAGTTCATAACTTTATTAACAGCGACGAAATAATTGAAGGTGGTTTCTGTTATATGTTGTACATCCTTGTGAAGTTGGTATTCTACAGCTTGAAATTGTCAATGATAACATTTCTTTTTCATACACCTGACGATTGTCAAATGACTTGATGACAAGTTTCTAGCTGATAATACCGCAGTTTTCGAAAGACAATAATATGTATTACGGCACAGTCAGTAATTTCCAAATGGTTATTTCCAAACTTACAAACTGAAGGAGAAGTGCACTTTTTGATATGGTCATGTTTCAAGTAGTGTGGCCTTTGTACCCAAGACAACTCACGAAGAGAAGAGAGAAAGTTGTATATTTTACAAAATTTACAACCTTACTCAGGTACCTGCTGTAGGTTTTGAGTTCAGAGTTTGCATACAAAATGTCTGATTGGAAGTTGTTTTACCCCGGCCAAAACATTTTAGATACACATATAATAGATACAGATCCTTTCTGCAGTAACAATGGCATTGGCCTTCACCAGGTTCACATGCTTTTTTCAAAAGTACACCTGAAAAAAGACTGTCATGGAAATGTTAATACCCTCATGTAAGTCATGTTCTTAAGTATTATAAATTTTCTCATTAAGTAACCCCTTTGATTTGTATTATGTGTCAATAGTCAATGAGATTGGCCTCAGCCACTGTTTTGCATGTCATGATATGTAAGCTGTGAGATTTACCAAGAAATTGTCATGTCTAGTGATTTATAAATATTCACATGATATTGCTGAACAAATGTCAACAGGCATATTTCAAGAACGAGCAAGACTTAACCACTTTCAGAGCTCCAGATAAGCTGCGTATCTGCGTGAAATACGCATCAGAAATGCAGAAATACACAGTAAAATATAATCCAAACGTATCAAATACGCAACGAACATTACAGATACGCTACAAAAATAAAACTTGTGCGTATCATCAAAATATTGTGAAGTAACCCTGCGTATTCGATTAGCAAATCAGCAACTTATTTTGAAATTATAAAGGGGCATTCCGTCAACCTTGCCAAACTCCACGATGACAGTTACATCATGATCATTTGCCATCACACTTTCTTGTGGAAGTATCGTGGTATTTTTGAGTCCTATAAAGCTCTCGAACCCACAAGACACCAGTTTGCTGGGACTAGATGAATAGTGTTTTTAAATATTTAACTTAAATACCCACATGTGTAAAAACTAGTGGGTAACAGAAATATGAATACGCAGGTAGAATTACTGATACCCAATGATCAGTAATGATTTTAAAATGCATGGGTAAAATACCCACAACACCAAAAGCTTATCTGGAGCTCTGCACTTTGTATATGTGCTAAATCACATGAACATGGCTAATGATCATCATGATTATGTATGTTCCTATTGTTTATTTCAGCCAGTGCCAGGTCCTTCTGTCTTGTTGAAATCACCCCCTAAAAGAGGGGGAGAGGATAATGAAGAATTTGAAGAGAAAATCGTGAGTATCCATCTTCGTTATCAATATTATGATTTAGGTCTGTTACGATTCACTCTCGCATTCGGTGAATCGAACTGTATCCATTCACGAATTGAATTCGTTAATCGTGGCCACTAGAATCGAATATTTATGAATGTGCAATCATCTGCATTTACATACCCTGTACCTAAAAATATCCATAAGAACATATTAAATGCATAGATTTCTTCAAAGACAACACTCTTATAATATTCAATTGGACAGTATTGTGGTCTCTGGTCATTGTCGCATTAGAGCAGATACTAGTTCCTGGATAAGTACAGAATATAAATGTATTAAATATTAATAATTAACAAACCATGTCATATAATTTATGTTTTTTTCACTGAATGTAACAAATAATAAATCTGACTTGTTATTGTATTCGTGATTTAATATTTGTATTCATTACCCCGTACTTGCGATATAATCATAATCGTTGCAGCCCTAGCATGATTACAAACTCTGAAGTGTATTGTATAAAATTTGGATTTATTTTGATGAAAATAATCAGTACTTAGTAATCATCTGTTGTAATATCACACCTAAGTTATAGACATGACATTGAAGATTTGGCAACCTACAATGCCAGTGTCCAACCCAGGCCGCGCGATTCATTCTAAAAAAAATCAAATCGCCCCTCATAAAAAAATGAAAGCGCGATCTGTCACGCACAGTATTTTCTCGTACAGTCACTTACTTTATCAGCTGTTTATCCCTACCTTTATATTCAATACTCACTAAATCTTTTAATCAATTAACGAAGAAAGACAGTACATAATACAAAATAAGACATTTTTGAAGAAAGCAATTATCCCCCCTACTTTTTCAAAATCCCCCCTATTTTCTACATGATGGGGGGACAAGTCCCCTTGATTTTCAATTCTGGGTTGGACACTGCAATGCTAACATGATCTACCACATGTCATAAAAGTAATCTCACTGTCAACATGGTCAATGTGGTAAATTTCACTTATGCATGTCATATCCACCGAGGGAAATTTGGGGAAATAATCAAGGTATTTAAAGTGCCTTTCTGAAAGCTGGATACCATGGACACAGGGTTCAGGTTCAGGGACTGGTTAGACCAGTGACAATCTAGAGTGAGTAGTTCTTTTCTGCAAACTTGTTTTAGCTATACCCTCTCAGAGGCGGATATTCGGCCTCATATCTGCAGCAAATGACCATGGCGACAGTAAAAATAAACAATGTCCTATTATTCCTAATTTATTTTTTTTCTTCTTTTTTTTTACAATCTAGTTTTGAACAAAGTCATGAGTAATCTCCAATTATGGTGCCCAGAGCTCTTTAGTTTTGGAATTTTTATTTTTTTTCTGAAATGACCTTTTGGATATGAGCAATGGTGTCTATCCCTAAACTTCCTCACTAATGCATTGTTGCATCTATGTTTGTGTTTTGATGTTAAACATGCTTTTTTTGTTGGGTTAGTATAAACACAAAACAGACAAGCCAGATCATCTGAGTACAATCAGAATATAGTAAGTATCTGTTAAGATGGCAGAGAGCAATTCGTAGTTCGCAGGTGATACAAAGATGTTGATTAATTTTCCCTTAGCAATTGACCATGTTTGACTGACAAAGTTATTTGTGTCTTTTATAGCAAAATGACAGAAGCAATCGTTTTGACTTCTTGCTTCAACAAACTGAGCTCTTCGCTCACTTCATGTCGACTGGGACCAAAACGGGGGCTGTTGCACCAACAAGTCCCCTCAAGATGAAGCCAGGTCGGCCAAAGGTCAAGAAGCTGGATGAGAAGGCTAAACTGGTTGCTGCGGGAGAGTAGGTGGACTGCTGACTTGATTTGTGCACATTGGAAGATCCTGGTTAGAGTAGGTCCCCTAGCAACCTATACTGGTTGTGACGGGTGACCAATTGGATGGGTGGTCAGGCTTGATGATTCGGTTGATTGCATGTCCTTGTACCCTGACAATATGGCTTGTTGTTCACGAAGTGGCGGTCGGGTAGCCTGGTGGTTAAAGCGTTCGCTCGTTACGCCGAAGACCCCGGTTCGATTCCCGACATGGGTTTAATGTGTGAAGCAAATTTCTGGTTTTCCCCCGCCGTGATATTGCTGGAATATTGCTAAAAGCGGTGTAAAAGCATACTCACTCACTCACTGTTGTTCACGATATCAGTCACTAGATTGTCTGTTCAAGACTAGATTATCTACAGGCCTCCATCATTTAGATGCAGTATTGCTGAGTGTGGCGTTTAACAACAGACAATAACAGCTGATTTGACATCCAATACTATGCATGTATCTGTTTCTGGTACTAGTGACCATGAAGCATTTGATAATTTGATTTATAAAAAATTTCAAGTATAAGATCTTGGTGACATTCCAGGTCATATGTTTATGTCACAGAAGGCTAAGAATTTGAATATACTGCAAAACTGAAATGCCCTCATAGAAAGGGGTGTAACAATACTAAGGTGGTGGCAAGATGCTTGACAATTTGACACTTCATCAAAGGGAAGCTTACCTAAATATATTTAGTACATTGTGTCAGTTGGTAAATCAACCCGTGAAGATCCGAGGTAGAATAGGTCTTCAACAACCCATGCTTGCCGTAAAAAGGCGACTATGCTTGTCGTAAGAGGAAACTATGCTTGTCGTAAGAGGCGACTATGCTTGTCGTAAGAGGCAACTATGCTTGTCGTAAGAGGCAACTATGCTTGTCGTAAGAGGCGACTATGCTTGTCGTAAGAGGCAACTATGCTTGTAAGAGGCGACTATGCTTGTCGTAAGAGGCGACTATGCTTGTCGTAAGAGGCGACTAACAGGATCAGGTTGTCAGGCTTGTTGGCTTGGTTATGCATGTCTTCGTATCCCAATTGCGTGGATCGATGCCCATGATGTCAATCACTGGATTGTCTAGTCCAGACTCTATTATATAGAGACCACAGTCATATATCTGGAATATTGTTGATTTTGGCGTTAAACAACAAACAAACAGTTGGTAAAACAGTAGCTTGAGACCTCTGTTACATATTGGATATATATTGTCCACATTATCTTACATGTCCCCATACTTTTTTTGGGTTTGTCATAAATTGTGTTTTGTATCATTGCTTGTGACTTGTTTGATGATCATTGTACTCAATACTAATTAGGTAATATTGCCATGCGCTTTGTTGTAGTCACCGGCATCGCAGAACCGAGCAAGAGGAGGACGAAGAACTGTTGTCTGAGAGTCGAAAGACAACAGCCGTCCTCACAAGATTCGAGGCATCCCCTTCATGTGAGAAAAAAAGTTTCATGTTCAAAGATGAGATAACAAATATCAATTCTGAGGTCAATCATGCAGATCAGTTTCCCATGAACAAAAGGATTTCTGCTGAGATTTTGATTTATCTGACAAAAAAAATCAGATTATCTTTCCTTAAAAATACACTTAAAAAATTCAACAATATATTCAAAACCTGTTAGTAAGAATGAAAATGGTTCTGTAACAGGTTATAAATCTTCAAATGATTGATATTTCCATCCAAGAAGTTTGGAATTTTCGTCAGTTTCACGCCAATATCTGCCTGATCTGTCATACAGTAAACCAATGACACCCATATATCATTTATCTGTTGTCCAATAAAAAAAAAGACACATGTTGAAACTATTTGTATCAAATTAATGCTTAGGGGGCTAAAACATAATTTGAAACATTGACATTTTTTTCTGTTGATTAACAATTTGTTAAATGTATGTCTTTGTTTTCTAGACATTAAAACTGGAGAGATGCGAGACTACCAGGTCAGAGGCCTGAACTGGATGATCTCCCTTTACGAGAATGGCATCAACGGAATCCTTGCAGACGAGATGGTATGAGTTACTCCGGTTGTATGGGGCACATGTGACCCAGTTGTTTAAGGAATTGCAGTTCACTATGCAGTTGCGTCCATTCTGGTACGCCAGGAACCTAAGATTGTGCGTTCGAATCGTGGTTTGCCACAATTATGTTTGTATGTTTGTCAGCAACATATCCATGCTCGTGGGTTTCACCAAAGTGGTAGACATCTGAGACCTGCATCACTTAGGGTGTCCTTCCACATTAAGCTGACATGCTGTGATATAACTGGAATACTGTTCCAGGCTTCCTGCTTGTCCAGGTACATAGTTCTGGTGGATGCCACCGTCCCCCAACTGGCTAACTTCTTGGTTTTTCTCTGCCAACCCCATCACCTTGCTGGTTACACTAACATATCTTGCAGCGCTCAATTCTGTCATGAAGATCGCTAATGGTTCCCGGGTGCCCTTGGTCCCAGCCCTTTTTGCCATGGTCCGAGGTTTTCGACTGGAAGATTAGATTTAGGGAGTTCTATCCTCCAGCTCATCTGTTGGATGGAACATCAGTCTAGAGAGAAGGTCCAGGGTTTGAAATTTGTACATACAAGTGTGTACAGGTATTCTTAACATATAACTTCTCGTCACGATATGGCTGAAATATTGCCGATGTGACGTTAAATATTAACTCAATCACTCACATACAAGTGTGTCAATTGCATGGTTAAAATCACGATTCGAACTAAGTTCCTGTGCCCTTATGACACACATAGAATATATGACAAATATTTCACATAGCACATATTCAAATGCTAACTTACAATACTTAATTTACAGCAATCATGTGAAGATTATAAATTTATATTGAGGATATCGTTGTCACAATATTATATTCTTTGGGCACAGCCATGTTTGTTTCTGTTGGGCATGATGGTCAACAGTGCATTGTGGTATCGTCATTTAGTGACTGCCATAAAGCAGGTGTGTGTAAGATATGCTGTGTTTTTGTGATCAGGGTTTGGGCAAGACTCTCCAGACGATATCCCTGCTGGGTTACATGAAGCACTACCGCAGCATCGCCTCACCTCATCTGGTCATCTGCCCCAAGTCCACCCTGCACAACTGGAGGAACGAGTTCAACCGATGGTGTCCCAGCCTCCGAGCTGTCTGTCTCATTGGAGACCAGGCACAGAGGGTAGGTTGTACTCCCACATCTCGAACTGAAATAGATTTTAACTGGGTTCAACATTATACGTCTGTGCCCAAAACTGCTGCCCCAACTTGACTCTCAGCACAATTTGTAGTACATTGTAGTGTTATCATATGAACAATTAATAGCTAAGCTTACTAGTCCGAACTGGTTTACTAGACTTGGGCTTCAGATAGGTGGCTGAAGAGCAGATTGCATTATGCGTATTTCTAAATGTTCAAAGCTGTTTGTCTTTCTAAGCAAATAAATTGTATTGATCCGACCAAATCAATTTTGAGCATAGGTTTGGTTGAGAGGGGATTAGGCCTGGTAAATCAGCATTAATGTCAAGCTTGATGCAAGATATTTCAAGCCCACCTTGTTTGTCAGCTTGATGTTGTTTCTTATGCATAGCAGTCTATCAGTTACCCTGGTAACACAAAGACAGTCTCTAATGGCTTGTTACAAAGCATGTACCTGACCAGTCACTGGAACAAGCTTCCTCGATGATGATGATGATGATGATGGAAGAATAGTGTTTAAGCTTAATTTAAAGGGAGACAAGACGCCACTTTTTAGCAATCCTAGCAAATTTGATTCACATCTCTCGGTTGACAGTTTTGGGCCTACTTGTCAACAAGTTGAACAGTTAATGATAGCCCAGATTACACAGAGACAATGTCTAAGTTCCACACATGGTATTAATGAGTGTCTTGACCTTGGCAGATAACTTTCACCAGACCATGGAATAGTCTCACTTAAACAAATGTTAAAATGCATTATGCTTCCATCTTACTGAGGCAAGGGAGTTAACTGACTACAAACGTCCGGTTTCCACCCTTGCTGAAACTAGGCTGCCCTGCAATCGAGTCTGGAAATTCCAGCCTAATTCAGCCTGCATGGAAACTGGACTTGGTACTCAGTTTTTTCCCCTGCCTCGTGAAGATGTATGCTTCGGACAATTGTCAATTCCAGAAAATTAGATTCAAATCATCCAAAATGATTATATATTTCTTTATGATTTATGATTAGACATTGTGACAATGCCATGATGACACTCGGCATATCATTGATGACATCAATAATTTTATCATCAAATGGCTGTGTAATATCTGCTGTTTTTGTTTGTCCGCACATGATGTGATGATGATGGCGTCATGATTGCACATCCCTGCTGCTGTTTCAGGCTGCATTTATCCGGGACACTCTAATGCCCGGCGAGTGGGATGTTTGTATCACCTCATACGAGATGGTCATTCGGGAAAAGTCGGTATTTAAGAAGTTCAACTGGCGGTACCTTGTCATTGATGAAGCTCACAGAATTAAGAATGAAAAATCCAAGGTAAGGTTTAAGTAGCAAGGAGAACGTATGTCATCTGCAGACAAGTACTCTTTTTTTAATCATTGTTACTTAAGAATAGACTTCAATGTTTATTGTGTGTGTGGAGTTATGCATTGGGGTTCACACCAATTTTCGTGCTGATACCTCCATGCATGATTGAAGTCAATACTTATAAATAAACAAGTCAACAATAATAACTTCACAGAATGCTTATTCAACCATTTACGTTAAAAAATGTATTAAACAATCAGTGTTCCCGATGGCTTTTGAAACTGCCAGTCCACCATGACTGGCAACTCTAAAAAATTACCAGTCCCCCCTAATTTTTGTCAGTCAGAACTTTCAACAAATGAAAAAAACCCATGAAAATCACCTGGTTTTAATTCTTTCCACTCACTTTTTGTATAATATTTCAAATTACATTAAGTAATACGTTACCACTGTTATACCGAGGCTGTTGTCTCCCACAACTGCTGCTATAGCGAAATCTACCACAGAGATCTCAATTACCTCATGCAGCACGTGCGTAGCCACCTAGCTGCCATGTGACACCCTTCACTCTTGTCTCCTTCGTCTGCTTAGCAAGACGTGTTTTCTCCTGCTGAAGCGTTCCTTGAAGATTTGGTGATATTTATTATCGTTTATTCTCTAATAAACTGTGCTTTTATGGGGCGTTGTGGTAGCTACGCTTGGTTATAATTTTCCCGCCAAACGGAAAATTTTTCCCGCCCTTTTTTCTATATACTTGCGGGGTTCGCGTATGCACGTTGTGTTTTACGTTTCCCCTGTTCTTGTATGTTTTGGGGGTTAACATAACTTATTTCTTTAGTAAAAGTTATATGTGTATGTTATATGTTCACATTGCTCGTTTATTTTCTTGTGAAAATGTTCGTTTGTGAATCATTGTGGTGCGTGCGTTGTAACCATGTTTTGTTCTTTGTTTCTAGAAAACAATCAATGTCTGACATGGATATGTCCCCTGTCTCCACCCCCTCTACCCCTGCTCCTCGGAGTTGTGGGGTGTGCAGAAAGTTTTTGTCGTCCCGGGATCCCCACGATCGTTGCCCGCGGTGCAGGGTTCCTTGCGAGGAAACCCGGTGCACCCTGTGCGAAGGTCTGGGACCTGCGGAGTTTGAGCGGTACCGGCTGTGCGCGCAGTCCGTTTCCACCCCTGTGGTGGCCGGTTCGTCCGGTCGGGGCCCCCGTGCGGGCACCTCCTTGTCGGCTGCGGCGGATCCCCTTGCGGCCCTCGGGCTGTCTGGGGCTTCCGTCGCCGCATTGTTGTCGCAAATTGTGGACTCCAAGCTGGCGGCCTTATCGCAAGATAGGCCGCTGGCTGTTCCGTCCCCGGCCTCTTCGGTGGCCGCGGGTTCGGACGCGGGGTCCACCGGTACGGCGCCGGCTGCCGTGGTTGCCGGTCCTTCCCCCGAACCGTTGCTTCCGCTATCGGTTAAGGACCGCGTGGCCATGGTGTATGACCTCTTCGAGGACATGCCAAAGCCCCTGCCGATACCGCGGGGTATCCACGGTTCCGTGGGTTCCTCCGAGGTATACGACGAGTCGTCCGACAAGGCTTTCCCGGCATCAACCTTGCTGCGCGGGATTAAGCCGTCTTTGGAGAAAGCCTTCACGGCTGCCTCCGGTCGGGGTCTCCCGTTACCTCCCCCGTCGTGGAGAAAAGGGTCTTTCCCAGTTCATGACCTTGCCTTTCCCGAGGCTGGTCCTTCTGCGGAAGCCCATGTGGAGCGTTTGGGGGTCCGTGCCCCACCGGTTGCCACGGTACCGCAAGGTACCCTGCAACAGCTGGACACCCTCGCTCGACACTCCATGCTGGCTATGTCTCACGGAGACACATACCTGGCTGAGGCGGCCAGTCTGGTCGAAGGTTCTCCCACGGACCGTGACCAGCGCATTTACAACTGCTTGCTCGGTTTGAATGCTTCCCTGGAGTACGTTGCCGGGGCTTCGGCCTTTGTTTCCGGCACGTGCCATTTTCTTCGGCGCCAGTCGTATCTGGTTGCTTCAGGGTTGGACGCTGCCAATCAGGAGGTGCTCCTTTCGCAGCCTTGGTCTGCTCGGACCCTGTTTAATAACAAGATCCCTGGGGTTCTGATGGAACAACAGGCCGCTGTGTCTGCCGAGGCCTCTCGGCACACACTGGATCTTGTGGGGTCCTTGCATAGGCGCCTGGGTGCCGCTCCGAAGCGGAGCGCGCCCCAGGTTGCTGCGTCCGGCAGGCCTAAGGGGTCGGGTCCTCCTTCCTCCGGGAAGAAGCCCCGCTCTGAGGGCTCCGGTAAGGGTTCTCAGCAGCCCTTTCGCGGGAAGAAGGGGAACTGGGGGAAGCCCAAGTCGTCTAAGGACGGCAAGGGCCCCTCCAGGTGACTCTCATTGGAGGGGTTCGTATGCCAACAGCGCCAACTTCGGTTGGCCCGTAGGCGAACCCGAGTCACACGGCCCTGGACAGTTGCGCCTGCCGCAGCCCGTCCGGCCCCCCTCTCTTTCCCCAGTGGGAGCCAGACTCCAGACTTACTGGGAGAATTGGGAACAAGTGTTCGACGACCCGTGGGTGGTCAACAAGATTCGGTACGGCTATCGGCTCGATCTCAAAGCGAATCCGCCGCTCACCGTTGCCCCGTCGGCAGGTTTCTATTCGGAAACCGATCTTCCCTTCCTCGCCAATGCCATCGGCAGGTTGGTGGAGAAGAGGGCAGTTCGGGAGTTAGCTCTACCAGAAATAACACCGGGGTTTTACTCCAGGATATTTCTCGTTCCCAAGAAGGACAGTGCCAAACTCAGAATGATTCACAACTTGAAATCGTTCAACGAGTTCTACCTGCGCAAGCCGCCCAAGTTCAGAATGTTGAGCTTGACGGACCTGAAAGCACTGATCATGCCGGCCGACTGGCTAGCTTCGATCGACCTGAAGGATGCTTATCTGCATGTTCCGATTCACTCGGATCATCACAGGTATCTCAGGTTTGTCTTTCAAGGCAGGCACTACGAGTGGGTTGTACTCCCATTCGGTCTTTCGTCCGCTCCCTGGCTGTTCACCCGGTTAACCACCCCCATAGTGGGGTTCCTCCACCAGAGGGGTGTCCGGTACTTCGCGTACCTGGACGACTCGCTAGTAGCAAATCGAATGTCGGACACCCTGTCACGCCATCTCGTTTTCGCACGTCGGCTTTTGGAGCAATTGGGGTGGATTGTCAATCTCCCCAAGAGCGAGTTAACCCCTTCTCAGAACTTGCAGTTCATCGGAGGTCGGTTCAACACGGTGTCCCATCGCCTATTTGTCCCCCCAGACCGGTGGCACAAAATTCAGGCGATGATTGCCAAAGTCTTAGCGGTGCAACAGACTGTTCACTTTTGGGAACAGCTGTTAGGGCTACTTGTATCAGCCCAGGACTGCACTGTACGGGGTCGTCTCCAACTGCAACTGGTCGCCCACTGCAACGGTTTTTAATCCAGTTGTTAGCAACGGAGGTGAACAGTGCGACCGTCGCCCTCCCGGATCGGCTCCGACTGCATCTGGAGTGGTGGACGGTCCCTTACAATGTCTTATCAGGAGTCTCTATGCGGCCCTACCGGGCCACGTTGAACCTGTATACAGACGCCTCTCTAGTGGGCTGGGGCGCCCATCTAGAGGGGGAGGTGAGCTCGGGGCTGTGGTGCGTAGACAAACTAGGTCTTCACATCAATTGTCTCGAGTTCAAGGCAGTGATCAACGCAGTCAATCACTGGAAGCATCGTCTCGTCGACGCCCGGCTCATGCTGGCGACCGACAACACGACGGTAGTGTCCTATGTGAACAAACTGGGGGGAACCCACAGTCACTCGCTGCTCGATCTCACGTTCGAGTTTTACGCTCTGGTGGACAGTGTCCCGTGCCAGATACGCGCCCGTCACATCCCAGGTGTGCGGAACGTACTGGCCGATGCTCTATCGAGGCCTCGGGATCCGAGCCCCACAGAGTGGATGCTGAACCCAGTAGTGTTTCAGTGGCTGTGCGAACGTTTGGGTCGTCCGATGGTCGACCTGTTCGCAACGCGGTTCAACAATCAACTCCCGTTGTTTGTATCACCAGTCCCGGACCCGAGGGCCATCGATCACGATGCTCTCGCGTTAGACTGGACGGGCTTGGACGCTTATGCTTACCCGCCGACAGCGTTGATACCACACATTCTAAGCCGGCTTCGGAGTGGGGGTCCTGCAAACCAGCGCACTCACACCACAGGTGAGGCGGCTTTATGTGTGTTTTGTCCTTATTTGTATTTTGACAATTATGCATTTAATTGTCTGTTGTGTATTCCAACCTTGCGATACATGCTTACGAATACTGGAATTAGGTCACGCGCCTAATGCATACTTTCAGTAGGCTTGCTCTGGGATATACGGTCTGAAGGAAATTAATTTCCCTCTTTTCGACTGTTTAACCTGATCTAAGATTTAGCTCACGCGGATACAGTGTTCTCATCCGCTGCGGCGATGAAATACCTATCCAGTGGGGCCGTTTGGAGTCACCAATCGTTTTGGCAATGACGATTGAGCCTTACGGTATGCGCATGACAATGCTTTGGTATTCCTATAGGGTAACGCCTAGCTAGGTGCATGCGCATCGAGTGCTTCCGCCTTGGTGTTTACTTCCGCTGGTCAGAAGGAACGCTAGCAGTCAGGATTCGGGTTGTAGGTGCTCCCCACCGCCTACTGTGGTAGTCAGCCTCGGTATAACAGTGGTAACGTATTACTTAATGTAATTTGTAGAATTTTCCTATTCGGAATATTCTACAGTGATCGCTCGCTATTGCGCTCTTCGATAAAGCGCTACTTCGGTTGTTACGCGCGGTAACGCATGGCTCCCAAAATTTATGTACACTTTTAATACTGAGAGTTTTACACAGACATGATTGTATTGTTGTTCGTTGTTTATTTGCACATAACGCTTCTCATTGCATAATCAACGGTTTATCGCTGAATGGAGTTCTAATTATCTGTTTGAAAACATCCGCGGCAGGTCCCGGAAATACGATTGTTCTACTAGTTAACTTTTCACACTATACATCCTTTGATCTTAGAAGCGCATGCATGCAATAAAAGAGAACCACAAGCGAAGTTCACAAAAATCACAAGTTAATTAGTGGGCAATCCAATTTGAGGCGACACTGTCAACTCACATTAGTTACTGTCACAACACGACGGTCATTCCTTTTGATTCGGATCAAGTAACCGTATCAAACCAATTAAACTGGCTTGACATACGTTACTGTATATAAAGTGAATTTATCAGATCAGGGGCATTCCAATTTCAACATGAGGAAAGCGTACACAGTGCAAGAAAAGCTAGACGTTGTGAAGAAAGTTAAAGATGGCGCTTCACAGGCCAGCGTTAGCCGCCAGTCCGGCGTTCCAGCGGGGACCATCAGGGGGTGGATAAAGAATGAAGAAAAACTTCAGACAGCCGCCGCCGAATGCCACGACAGCAAAGGACCGCAGACGAAGAAGATCCGTGGAGCCGACGACACCACTCTGGACAAGGCCTTGTTCGAGTGGTTCACACAATCCAGACACGATGGTATTCCCCTTTCGGGTGAAATACTTAAGGTCAAGGCCCAGAAGTTGTCGAGGCAGATAAACGGGGACGACGACACCTTCAAGGCAAGTGATGGCTGGTTGTGGAGGTTCCAGCGACGTCACGGTATCAAGTCCATCACCGTCAGCGGGGAATCTAAATCTGCCGATGTTGAATCTGCTGCGGCATATCCAACGATACTACGAGACATTATTGACGCGGAAGGCCTGCAAGATGAGCAGATTTACAACGCAGATGAGACCGGCCTATACTATCGGATGCTCCCAGACAAGACTCTCGCCGAGAAAAATGACCCCAGGCAGAAGACAGGGTTCAAGAAGGCCAAGCAACGTGTGACAGTGCTGCTTGCTTGTAACAAGACCGGACGCCATAAGTTGAAGCCACTTGTTATAGGAACATCGAAGAACCCCCGCGCCCTCCACCACGTGAACCGCTCTACGTTGCCAGTGCTCTACCAAAGTTCAAAGAATGCGTGGATGACGGCATTCATCTTCAAAGACTGGTTTTTTAAGAATTTCATCCCCGCCGTACGTCATTACCTGAGACAACAAAAACTCGAAGAAAAAGCAATCCTGCTTTTGGATAACTGCCCAGCCCACCCCCCTGCCTCAACGTTGTCTTCACACGACGGCAAAATCAAGGTCGTTCTCCTGCCGAAAAACACAACGTCACTAATACAGCCCTTGGATCAAGGTATTATAAAGGCCTTTAAATCCCACTGCAAGAGGAAACTCATCACCAATTTGCTGGATTCCGCCATGCCCCCAACAGACTACATAAAGACAGTCACCATGAAGGACGTGATATTCACAACACATTACGCATGGACTCAGATTACGACAAGCACCATTGACAATTGCTGGAGAAAGGGACTGGGCAGCGCCTTTGATGAAGATTTTCTCGGCTTCACAGAAACAGACATTACCGAGGCTGTTGGCCCTTCACTCATAGCGTCTGTTACTACCATTATCGATCGATATTTACATGTAAGTAGGCTAATACATGTATCACGTTGAATGTGACAGTTAAGGCTTGTAAATAATAACAAACGACGAAAACACAATGGGAATATCTTTATTTTTACACTATGAACAACCTGTATCATTGCAATGTGCGATACAAGGCGAAGATCGTGAGATTGGTCGAGCGCGCTCCCCCGCCTCGGCTTCGGTTAAACGGCTCACCGTCTATAGCGCCCACCAATTATTTGGACCCCACTGGTAGCGCAATAGCGAGCGATCACTGTATAAGTAATACGTTACCACTGGGCTGCTGCCCGCCCGTCCGTCCCCCGAGCACTTGCTCTCGCAGGAGACAAGAGTGAAGGGTGTCACATGGCAGCTAGGTGGCTACGCACGTGCTGCATGAGGTAATTGAGATCTCTGTGGTAGATTTCGCTATAGCAGCAGTTGTGGGAGACAACAGCCTCGGTATAACAGTGGTAACGTATTACTTATAGAATATTCCGAATAGGAAAATTCTACAAGACTAAATCACTGCAAATATATATTTAACCTTGAAGCAAAGCGAAATGCTATTTAATAGCACTAAAAACAGACAAGGGGAACCAAGAAGTCAACTGACAACTTGACTTTGTTCGAAATATATACTTATTTGAATATCATCAATGTTTTGTTCAACAACAAAGATTTATAAGATGCTATATTTGCCGGTCCACAGGGACTGGCAGTAACATGAATTACCGGTCCAAGCTTAATTTTACCGGTAAACGGGAACACTGACAATACAAAATCAGGGACATTGATTGGTGGAATAATGTAACACAAACCTGTTCACTCTATTATCACCCAATCAGAAGCAGTTCAGTTGTGAGCCAATGAGACCAATGACTTGATTGCAACTCAGTAATTTTGATGTGTTGTATGGCAAGAAAATGACCTTTTCTTTGGTGTGTTTTTGTAGATAAGTTTTTCCATTTCAGCTTTCTGAGATTGTGAGAGAATTCAAGTCAACAAACCGCCTGCTGCTCACTGGAACTCCGCTGCAGAACAATCTGCACGAGCTGTGGGCACTTCTTAACTTCTTGCTCCCTGATGTCTTCAACTCATCTGACGTAAGGCCTTTACCATACATGCTGTTTGCAGGGATGATGCTCTGGCTGGAGACAAAATATAATAACCTTTGTACATTTTTGGAGAAAAAATCATGGATCATTGTTGAACCATAAAATTGTACAAAATATATTTTAAGTCTCTTTGACCAGACGTTGAGCCAAGCTTCACTCTGTGGTTATCCAGAGCTCAAGATAGGCTGCATTTTTGCGTAAAATATGCATTAGATATAATAATGAAATACACAGACAAATCAAACCCCTTCCTATATGCAACAAGAACTAAAAGAACGCAATTGAAATGGTAATGCAGGATAAGTATACAAATGTAAAAATATTTAGATTTTACTGATTTTTTTACTTATCCTGCATTACTACGTTTAAGATGCATTAAGGAGTAATGCAGGATAAGTATACAAATGTAAAAAAATATTTAGATTTGACTAAAATTGATGCGTATATTACCACTATTAGATAAAACAGTTGCATATATTACAACTGTTAGATAAAATGATTGTTTATAAGCTGATTGCATAATTCACTTACTGATAGCTACATTCGGAAAAGCTTGTGCGACAAACAAGCTTGAATACCAATAGATTCGAATTGAAAAGCACAATCTGCCTAGTCAATGTGCATGTTGTCTTAAACAGACAGGTATACTACTATTCATTTAGTTTTAAATGATTTACCGATTAAATGATAAGTTAAAATACCCAAATGTCAAGAATCAGCTGGGTAATTTGTTTTTGAATTCCCTTTAAAAATTGTGTCAGTTTAACGCCACACTCAACAATATCCCAGCTATAGTGCTGAATACCCAATCCACATCCAACCCCTGGGGAAAATAACCAAAAGCTTATCTTGAGCTCTGGTTATCACTGTGATCTTGAGGAATTACCCTTTCTTATTCATTATGTAAAACTTAAACAAGGACCTCTAAACATTGGCAAGGTCAAGCATGTGAAATATTTGCCATTGACGGTAATTTGTTGACAGAAACATTAGCAAGGACATAATGTGGATCTCTGTAGAGGACACCATGGTACTGTAGATTACTGTCAAAGGTATATATTCCTGTATACCATGCAATCATACAAACAATGGCTAGGGTCATCTGGTCTATTTATGTGGGTGGATATTGTATGCAAGTTTCAGTTTTGAAACTAAACTCTGGTGTGTTTTTTTCAATGCAGGATTTCGATTCTTGGTTTAATGCCAACAATTGCTTCGGAGATGTTGCCTTAGTTGAAAGACTTCATGCGGTAAGTACTCAACGACTGCTTCTTTTTCTCTCCAAATACGTACGTTTGTGAATATCTTGGTCACAAGTGATCCAATGGATTATAACATTGCAACCTGCTGTTGAGAGTTGCCTCCCTACACCCCACAGTGTGGTGACATATGTTTTTGTGTATATCATGATGGTGAATTTGGAAAATGTTAAGTCCACAGATGAATTTACGTTTATTTAATTATTAAGTTTGAGATTGCAGACTAATAAAAAAGGACACGTCTTTCTTTCCCTCTTTTATCTACCATTTTCACACTTATTACTTGACAGGTGCTTCGACCTTTCTTGTTGCGACGTATCAAGTCTGAGGTGGAGAAACGTTTGCTACCAAAGAAAGAGACCAAGATCTTTGTCGGTTTGGGCAAAATGCAAAGAGAATGGTAAGAAAAGTAAAAAACATTCCGAGCCATTAGACCCCCAACCCTACACCACCCCCCACCCCCCACCCCCCACACCCACACCCACACCTCACTCTACTAAATTATACTAGCACTTGGGATACCTTGAACATTAGACAACCTGACATGGGCTAGCAGGCTAGTGGCACATTCTGTCCCCACAGTAGTGGCAGTATCAAGATTGCAGGAATTTCCTTATGGCATTGAGGTGTACATGCATTTCCCGAGGCAAAGGAGTTAACTGACTGTAAAAAGTCCAGTTTTCACCCTTGCCGAACAAGGCTGCAATTTCTGGGCACGATCGTAACGTGTGTAGTGGCTTTTAGAAGTTATGTCGCTTTTATGTCCCTCCTGTTGACCAATTGACTTCCACCTCTCATATCACTTGCATTAACTTCGAACAAAATATGGACGCCAGTGAAGATGATCTGATCAATAATCAAACTCTATATTGTAATTAAACGGGTCTTACTTTGTGAAGTGCATCAAATCATGTGAGCACCTTGATTAAAAACATGAAAAGATTTTGAGAATTTCTGTTGACGGCATATTGACGGTACTCATGCTTTGCAAATCCTGCAATCGACAGATATCCCCATGGCAGTTTACTACCTGGATGTCGATTTTGTCACCGATTTTGATTGGACTATGCATAGACTCGTTAGTCAAGCCAAAATATAACTCCATAATTCCAGCCTAGCTTGTCAAGGGTGGAAACTGGACTTCTATAGTTAGTTAATTCCCTTGCCTTGGGAAGATGATTTCTTGTATCATGCACTACTGTCAGTTGTTCTTGTGTATTATCAATACTCTCTAAGGGCATAATACATTTCAAGTATTTTACACTGAAAACTGATGATAGCCATTAGGTAACCTGTCTGTAAAGTACATGCCAGAATGGACCCTACAGAAGTCTACTACATGCAGGTACACCAAGATTCTGATGAAGGACATCGACATTGTTAACGGAGCTGGCAAAACAGACAAGATGCGACTGCTCAATATTCTCATGCAGTTGAGAAAGTGCTGTAATCACCCGTACCTGTTTGACGGGGCCGAGCCGGGGCCCCCCTACACCACAGATTACCACATTGCAGAAAACAGTGGCAAGATGGTCATCCTGGACAAGATGTTGCCCAAACTCAAGAGAGAAGGTTTGTCTTCTCGACTAATGAACACATTACTTAACCATTATCTATGTGCCAACCTTTTGATAATAAATGCGATAGCAGAAACCAGCCATATGGTCGGGACAAATTCAAATTCTTGAAGGTCAGTTCAATCCCTGGCAACATCATCCCAAAAGACAAAATAAAAGATGGTAATTGTTGTTACCCTGCCTGGTGCTCGGCATTAATGGGCTTGTTGGTTTGATGTTTAACACCGCACTCAGCAATATTCCAGCTATAGGACGGCCTTTAAATCCATGTTTATGTAGTTCCCGAAGTCTTGATCATCTTTATAAATTTCATTACTGCACTAGATTCTGTGCTGAGAAGGTTTGTAGTGAGCTCCAACTCCAGTTGGTTAGTTGGTTTGTTGTTTAACGCCGCACTCAGCAATATTCCAGCTATATGACGATGGTCTGTAGATAATCGAGTCTGGACCAGACAATCCAGCGATTGATATGAACATCTATCCACGAAATTGGGATAGATGACATGCTTCAACCAAGTCAGCGCGCCTGACCACCTGATCCCGTTAGTCGCCTCTTACAAGGACTTGTCGGCTAGGAGTCAGTATGCAAGCAATCACATACACATGGAGATGTCTATATTAGTGCAGTAATCTTGAATGCGCTGTAAAACTGTTTCACCTCCCACCTTGCCATATACCGGAGTTAGGGGTAAACAAATAACAAGCCAAACAAGAGAAAAAATCCCTATTGAAATCTGAGGTATTCTATTAAATATACTACTCAAAAGAAGTTAAGGATCACCCAATTCTTTCATATTGGTAATGTTGATCTGTCATGGCATGAGAGAATAACTATTGTAATATGGAAGAATCAGGTGATCCTTAACTTCTTTTGAGTAGTATAGATGCTTTTTATTTTTATTTGGAATCAAGTGGGTTATTTAACGAATCGATAGCCTATCAATAGATCAATGTATTTACACACTAGTTTTTCTGTGAAAAGGCATATACATTTTGAGGTATGAAATGGTATTTTGACCAATTTTCATCTAATATGCATGTGGTGTTTGCAGGGTCGCGTGTGTTGATCTTCAGTCAGATGACCCGTATGTTGGACATCCTTGAGGACTACTGCTACTGGAAGCAGTATGACTATTGCCGTCTCGACGGTAGCACTCCGCACGAGGAGAGACAGGTACACCCTCACAAGCTGATTATGAGCTGAAACTAGCTAAACACACCCTGGCTCAAACAATAGATTCTACAAATTTTATGGAATGTATGAATTTACACTAATATGGGATCTATGAATTTACGCCAAAACAAACGTAGATGATAGGATGTTTCTCTTGTAGGTCTTTGAGTGATTGTCATCTGAGCAACATGAAATATATTTTCACATTTTCAATTTCCTTTATTAGGGAGTATTGTCTTTGGCCTAGCCCCAAATTATACATTATTTCTCATAACAGCTGCGATCATCATGTTAAAATGAATCTCAAGTAATGGTGGACTAATTTCCACTGGATCTTCAGGCTGCTTATCAGACTCTTAATAAATGCCATCAACCATTGACCCTCCGCCATGTTGATTTACCTCCACAGAATTCCATCAATGACTTCAACATGCCTGACAGTAAGAAGTTTGTCTTCATGTTGAGTACAAGGGCTGGCGGTCTTGGCATCAACCTTGCTACAGCTGACATTGTCATCTTGTTCGACTCTGACTGGAATCCCCAAGTTGATTTACAGGCCATGGTATGTCATTTGTTCTGTTACCTCCCAGGGCCATAGGGACCAAGTTGTCATTAGTGCAAGCATCTTTTGGTCGACCACTTGATAATTTGGTGGGGGTATATCCATCTTCCTTTGGAAAGGGCGTTAATTGACTATAAAAATCCAGTTCCCACCCTTGCCGAACTACATCTTGGCGGGACTTACATGTTCATGCATAGTCGAATCATAATCGCAGAACGAACTAGACAATCGGTGTGTAAACAAAATGTGCAGATTTTCAGTCAACTGCAGGATCGCTCAAGCGATTTGATTCACTTTTCAGGGTAAACCCCGATTTATTACAATGTGGATCTTAATTAGCGATCAGATCGTTTTGACTGGAGGCAACCATTTTGTTTGAAGCAAATGAAAGTGATATGAGATATGGAATCTGATTGATGGATATGAGGGACATAGAAGGGACATAACTCTGATGGCGCTACGATCGAGCCTGGAAATTCCAGGCTAGTTCGGCAAGGGTGGAAAGTTTACTTTTATAGTCGGTTAATTCCCTTGCCTCGGGAAGATGTATGCTTTGGACAATTTTCAACCCCAGAAAATTAGATTCAAGTCATTCATAACTCAGGAAGATTGGGTATAGCTGGAACAAATATTTATTCTACTACTGCTTAATTCATATAATTTCTTTGAATGGGCAAGCCTAGAACTTTCGGAGTGACTCTCAGGACAGTCCTCTTGGTATAAACTTGAGGATAAATTATAATTGTTGATTTCCTGGAATTCTCAATCATTACTTGTTCCCCTAAAATCAAACGTCTGAGATATATTTCCCGAGAGGAAGACAGATTCTTGTTGGTTTTCATATTGCTGTTGATCCATGAAGATCCTGGGTAGAATAGGTCTTCAGCAACCCATGCTTGCCGTAAAAGGCGACTATGCTTGTCGGAAGAGGCAACTAACGGGATTGGGTTTTCTGGCTCGTGGGCTTGGTTGATGCATGTCATCGTATCACAATTGGGTGGATCGATGCTCAAGATGTCAATCACTGGTTCAGACTCGATTATTTACAGGCCACCATCTTATGGCTGGAATATTGCTGAGTGCGGTGTTAAACAACAAACAAACATATTGTTGTTATATTACTTGTTTCTTCTACAAAAGAGAACCCATTTTCTTTTTGAACTGTAGGACAGGGCTCATCGTATTGGTCAGAAGAAACAGGTGAAGGTGTTCCGTTTTATCACTGAGAACACTGTGGAGGAACGCATTGTGGAAAAAGCTGAGATGAAGCTGAGGCTTGATAACATCGTTATTCAACAAGGTGAACACATCCTCTTGTTACATTCTGTAAGGCAGCATGCGAGCTTGACCCGTGAAGATCCGGGTTTGAATAGGCCTTCAGCAACCCATGTTTGCCATAAAAGGCAACTAACAGGATCGGGTGGTCAGGCTCACAGACTTGGTTGATACATGTCATTTATCCCAATTGCATGGATCAATGCTCATGATGTCAATCACTGGATTGTCTGATCCAGACTCGATTATCTACAGACCATCGTCATATAGCTGGAATATTGCTGAGTGCGGCGTTAAACAACAAACCAACTAACCAACTGGAGTTGGAGCTCACTACAAACCTTCTCAGCACAAAATCTGGTGCAGTAATGAAATTTATAAAGATGATCAAGACTTCGGGAACTAAATAAACATGGATTTAAAGGCCGTCCTATAGCTGGAATATTGCTGAGTGCGGTGTTAAACAACAAACAGACAAACAAACAAAGCATGCAAGCTCAATCGGTGCCAACTTGTTCAGTGGCATTGGGTAGGTAGCCAAAGATTTGCTAGGATCTATATGATGTTTCTTAGTCCTGACAACTGTCGGAAACATTGCAGAATCCCAGCCAAGAAAACCAACACCTAGGTTGACAACAGGCTGGCCACACATGGTACCGTGTACTTGATAACTCACACGGGAGTAAATACAGTACACACCTAGTTGAAATAATCCGTACATATGATATCACATGACAGAAAAAAAGACCTGTGAGGATCCGATTTAGATATGTCTTCAGCAACCAATGCTTGTCAAAAGAGGATAGTGGTCTGGCTCGCTTACATTGATGATGATGCACATCTTCGTATCCCAATTGCATGGATCGATGCTCATGACATCAATCACTGGTCCAGACCCTATTGTTTACTGTACGCTGTCATTTAGCTGGAATATTGCTGTGTTTCGGTGTTAAACAACAAACAAACAAATAAAATAATGATGTCCTTTGAGTGTGGCATTGTTGATAACCGATGATCTAATCCAAGTGATATCTCATAGTTTTGGATAATAAACACAATTATTTCAAAGTATGTTTTGTGTTGTCAGGCCGTCTGCTGGATCACTCGGCCAACAAGCTGGGTAAGGACGAGGTGCTCAGTATGATCAGGCATGGTGCTAGTCACGTGTTTGCCTCGAAAGACAGTGAAATCACAGATGAAGACATCGACTCCATCATCCAGAAGGGAGAGAGAAAGGTACTACTAGCCCGATGTAGTAAAGATGGACGGTGATCTATTCAATTGGCCCATTCTCCTCTCTAGGTGTTATAATTGACATTGTCAATCTGTAATTAGGGTATTCATTAACTGTTTGATTAATATGTTTCTAATATTTGAGTTATCACAGTTGTATCCATTACCAAAATCAACCTTGCCAGGACTACCTTTTTGCCTGAGCTATAGTCTTCTTTGAAGTTGTATTATCAAATGCAGAGTTCACTCTAGGAACTTTCTGACATGGGCCCTTCATCTGAAAAAATCAAATGTTCCAGAGGTACACCCACATTTGCCCATACAGCACAATGTTAAAATGCCCCAAAGTATTTGAAAATGTGGGCCTTTTCTCAAATTTAGGGGCTTAAAGCACAAAGCCCCACCCTAGAATTATCCCTTCAAATGTGTTTGTTAATGATTTATAGTGAATTGGCTTTAATGTTTAGAGATCTATATATGTCTCTGCAGTGGTCACAATTAAGCGCTGTAAAAGGCAACTATGCTTGTCGTAAGAGGCGACTGATGGGATCGGGTGGTCAGGCTTGCTGACTTGGTTGATGCTTGTCATCGATCCCAATTGCACGGATCGATGCTCATGATATTAATCACTGGATTTTCTGGTCCAGACTCGATTATTTACAGACCGCTGTCATATAGCTGGAATATTGCTGAGTGCGGCGTTAAACAACAAACAAACCAACTAACCAACACAATTAAGCAAGGAAGTCGGTGGGTCCTTGTCACTGCCATTATGGTAGAGTTAAAGAATCAGGGGGTCCCTAGATTGAAATACTATGGGAGCAAAGCTTAAGACCCTGTTTAGTTTCAACTGCTTTGATGAAATATGATAATCTCATGGTAAAAGTATGTTTTGTAGACTGAAGAAATCAATGAGAAGTTTGAGAACATGGGCGAGGGAAGTCTGCGGACCTTCACCATGGAGTCCCAGGAGAGCGTGTACAAGTTCGAGGGAGAAGATTATCGGGACAAGCAGAAGTTGGGTATAGGCCACTGGATTGAGCCGCCCAAGAGAGAGAGGAAAGCCAATTACGCTGTGGACGCATACTTTAGAGAGGCACTACGTGTCAGTGAGCCCAAGGCACCCAAGGTATGTCCATACACCACTCTGATGACACTCAGGGGCGATCGGGTAGCCTAGTGGTTAAAGCGTTCGCTTGTCACGCCGAAGACCCGGGTTCGATTCCCGACATTGGTACAATGTTTGAAGCCCATTTCTAGTGTCCCCCCGCAGTGATATTGCTGGAATATTGCTAAAAGCGGTGTAAAACCATACCCACTCACTCCACTCACTGATGACACTCATGGCGCAGTTCTTTGAATATTTTGAATTGCTGGGCTGGCCTTGTGATTAAAAACGTCAAGACCCTTGCCATATTCATATGAAATCACTGCCGAAAGCGGACATGATGGTACGATTCCAATTATATCATGTGTTTATGAATCACTATCAAATAGTGATGATACCAGGTGTTCGCAAAAAGATGAGAATCCTGAGCTTACTCTGTTGGATCATCTATCACATATCAGATAAACTTATTTCATGGCAGAGTATCACTTTCACCAAACATACAGCTGTGTAGAGGTAGTTCAAGATGCTTCAGTAGTTATTACCATCTTGCAATGTCTGGACTGCTTGAACAGTGGCATGAAGTGATCTGGCGTGGCTCAGTGGATACATGTCATGCTGCAGTGGAGTGTGTACAGTGACTCAATGTAATGTTGCAGTGATGCGGAATGGTACAGTGTATTCTGATATGTTGCAGGCTCCCCGTCCCCCGAAGCAGCCCAATATCCAGGACTTCCAGTTCTTCCCTCCCCGGCTGTTCGAGCTCCTGGACAAGGAGATCTACTTCTACCGCAAAACTATTGGATACAAGGTTTGTGCACAACCGCTGATGGATGTAAACCAAAATTGATTTGTTATCTCGCTGGAGGCGAGTGGTATAAAATCTATTCTGGGACACATAAAACCACAAATACAGGGTTAGACACTAACAGTTTTCGTCCACTTGTCCTTATAATGATAACATATAGTAAAACCCTAATACAGGGCAAATTTCTACTAGTCCTTATGATACCTTTACCATTGGGCAGTTTGGCAAGGACTATAGGACTAGTGCCAATTTCTAATGCTGATATACCCCGAGTGATACTGCTACAACAAATTTATCTTGCCGACATGTTTCAATCTGCCATTGTTGAAAGAATATATCTGGGTTGAGGTGAACTTGTGCTGTGTCACATGACTTTCATTGACTTGTAAGCAACATGCAACGTTTTACTTCGTAGCAGGGTATAATGGATTTATTCTCCTGCTCAGAAATATATTTCCCACCCAGGCGGGATGTATAAGTGTTTTGTCAAGATCACGTGAACTGATCAGATCTCATCATTCTAACACATAGGTAAGATAAGACGTTTTAAAAAAAAAAAAGTGCAATAATCTTGAACGCGACGTAAGACCCCATTTCACCTCACTTCATGCTCAAGTGTGTGTAACTGTCACTAGGTACCGAAGAACCCTGACCTGGGGTCAGATGCAGACAGAGTTCGCAAGGAGGACCAGATAAGGATCGATGAATCGGAGCAGTTGAATGATGAGGAGATAGGCGAGAAGGAAGACCTCCTCAAACAGGTAGACATGTAATAGAGTTACCTACACATGACCCGTAGAAGCCATTTGTTAATATTTCGAAGGTCATGTTTTAGCATAGTGCATGGGAGATGAAATATTTCAAACTTGTGGATTATTTTTCTGTTGTGATTTATCAGGTTTATGCAAATCATTACCTGTTATTTGATTGAGGACTTCAGACAGTGAGGTTTGTTCAGGATCTGTCTTGAAAAGAACTTGATTTAAGAGGTGTGTCTTGAAGGACTTTTAGTTTCTAGTCATCCTATGCTTGTCATGAGAGGCGACTAACGGAATCAGATGGTCAGACTCGCTGATTTGGTTGATGCATGTCATCGATCCCAATTGCGTGGATTGATGCTCATGATATCAATCACTGGGTTGTCTGGTCCAGACTGGATTATTTACAGGCCGCCATCATATAGCTGGAATATTGCTAAGTGCAGCGTAAACAGCAAACAAAATCATAAGGCCTTGAAATAGGATCATGTGCATGAGAATCCATTAACCTTTTGTGACTGACATTTTGCATTAACCTTGAAATGTCCTTCCTAATTTATTGTGAACAATTGCAGGGTTTCACCAACTGGACCAAGAGAGACTTCCAACAGTTCATCAAAGCAAATGAGAAATACGGTCGTGATGACATTGAAAGTATTGCCAGAGAAGTGGAAGGCAAAACACCAGAAGAGGTAAATCATTAAGGCTGAAAAATTAAACTTGAAAATGACATCTTGAAGTGAATTTCAGTGAATGACATTTGATGTGTACATGTGTATCCTTGTGCAGGGGACCCGTGAAGATCCGGGGTAGAATAGGTCTTCAGCAACCCATGCTTGCCGTAAAAGGCTACTATGCTTGTCGTAAGAGGCGACTAACAGGATCGGGTGGTCAGGCTCGCTGACTTGGTTCATGCATGTCATCAATCCCAATTGCGTGGGTCGATGCGCATGATATGAATCACTGAATTGTCTGGTAAAGATTCGATTATTTACAGACCGCCATCATATAGCTGGAATATTGCTGAGTGCGGTGTTAAACAACAAACCAACCAACCAACCAACCTTGTGCAGGATACTACTATCCTGGGCCCAATCCACAAAGCAGTGTTAGTGCCAAGACAATCAAACTCCCATACTTTACCATTGAATTGGAAAGTGGTAACACTAACATCGCTTTGCGAGACAAGGCCTGTAGTCTGACTGATGTTTGCAGGTGATGGCGTATTCAACGGTATTCTGGGAACGATGTAATGAGCTCCAGGATATTGAGAGAATCATGGCACAGATCGAGAGGGGAGAGGCTCGAATTCAGCGGAGAATCAGCATCAAGAAGGCCCTCGATGCCAAGGTGAGGATTGTTTCACAAGATAGTCATGTAAATACTCGTGTTCAGATTCAGGAATTTGAATCAGTACTTTCATGTGCAAAAAGTGACAACTGTATGTTGCAATCCTTCTCTTGCTAAACAGATACATCTGAATATTTAATTGTTTATACACGGAGAAGTGGTCTAATCATTAGGCATTCACTGACCCCCATTGCATGCCTTGGCTGTGTATACTGGTTGTAGGTTTGGTATACCAGATTATTCTTTATTATCATACTGTGTCTTAGCCACTACTCCGAAGCCTAGGTCTGTAAAACTGATAGTAGAGCATATAACACTAAAATCTACTAAAGCAATGCAAAGATTCCAATTCTGCCTGGGGCTGTGGGTAGCCTAGTGGTTAAATCGTTCGCTTGTTACGCTGAAGACCAAGGTTCCATTTTCCCACATGGGTACAAGCCTGGTGTCCCCCACCGTGAGATAACTGGAATACTGATAAAACTGGCATTAACTCCAACTCACTCACTTACTCCCTCACTCACTCACTCACTTACTCACTCACTCCAATTTTAGGCTAGTTGACTGAAATGTTATTGGTACAGGCTGTGTCTTGGTTTATTAGCATGCCGTGGGGATTACAGGTTAGAGTAGATCCGCAGGCACCTATTCTGGTCATAAGAGGTGACCAAATGGATACAGTTGTTAGGCTCGGAAACTTGGTTGATTGCGTGTCATCGGCCCCAACAACATGGAGCATTGTTTACAATATCAATCACAGGATTGTCTGGTCCAGACTATTATTTACAGGCTGTCATATAGATGGAATATTGCATGAATCACTGGATGGACTGGCCCAGACTATTATTTACAGGCCGTCATATAGCTGGAATATTGCATGAATCACTGGATGGACTGGCCCAGACTATTATTTAAAGGCTGTCATATAGCTGGAATATTCCATGAGTGTGGTGTTAAACAACAAACAAACATCACCAAAGCAGTAAATGTCTACAACCTGTGTCTCTTTAGGTTTCCTCTCACAAGTAGTCATAGAGCTAAAATGTATTCAAAACTTCATCCTCTAAGACCTTCATCACATTCCTCTCAAGCTGACATTGCAATGTAACTGAAATACTGTTAAAATAGGTGTTAAACCCAACTCACTCACTCACTCACCCACCCACCCACCCACTCACCCACCCACCCACTCACTCACCCACCCACTCACTCACTCACTCACTCACTCACTCACTCACTCACTCCAAGCTACATCATCACCATGTTATCGTGTGTCCAGATGGCCCGTTACCGAGCACCATTCCACCAGCTGCGTATCCAGTACGGAACCAACAAGGGCAAGAACTACACGGAAGAGGAGGACCGCTTCCTGGTGTGCATGCTGCACAAGCTGGGCTTTGACAAGGAGAACGTGTACGACGACCTCCGCCAGGCAGTACGACAGGCTCCTCAGTTCCGATTTGATTGGTTCATCAAGTCAAGGACTGCCATGGTTAGTATTAAGAAATAATGAAATTGAGTGACATTGTTAATTTTTTGTCTCTTTATGCTGTTTGATATTTTTATAATAAAAATCGGAATAAAAAGTGACAATTGTCCCGATACTAGTGATAATTAAAAAGGACTGCTTGTTTATTTCCGAAATCTAGTTGTGTTATGTTAACCATGACTACAAATTGAGCTGCGAACATCCGTTGTCTTGGTGACTTGGCTGATGGCATGTCATCGTACCCCAGTGGCATGGATCATTGTTCGCCATATCAATCACTGGAATGTCTGGTCCAGAATCATTATTTAAGGGCCGTAGTCATATTGCTAGAATGTTTCTGAATGTGGTGTTAAACAACAAAGAAACAGGTACCCTCAGGAGAATTATTTTTGGTAATATTGAGATTATCTTGACAAACCCATAGTTAACTTTCCAAGCCCTCCCTGATTTAAAACAAGATTTTCTAGATCTGTACAAAATTAACTTTTCCAGGAGTTACAACGTCGCTGCAACACACTGATCACACTAATAGAGAGAGAGAACATGGAACTGGAGGAACGAGAGAAGGCCGAGAAGAGGAAGGGACGACCAAAATCAGGAACACCCAAGGTAAGTACTATCGGATGCAGTATTAGCCTGTAGCATAGTTGGGGGATCAACAATGTGTAGGCCACGGGCATAACTCCAGCATAGGATACTGAGCTTATACCATGTCTGTGTTATAATAAGTATATGTGTGTAGGCCACGGGCATAACTCCAGCATAGGATACTGAGCCTATACCATGTCTGTGTTATAATAAGCATATATGTGTAGGCCACGGGCATAACTCCAGCATAGGATACTGAGCTTATACCATGTCTGTGTTATAATAAGTATATGTGTGTAGGCCATGGGCATAACTCCAGCATAGGATACTGAGCCTATACCATGTCTGAGTTATAATAAGCATATATGTGTAGGCCACGGGCATAACTCCAGCAAAGGATACTGAGCCTATACCATGTCTGAGTTATAATAAGCATATATGTGTAGGCCAAGGGCATAACTCCAGCATAGGATACTGAGCTTATTCCAGACCCATTAAGATCTAGGTTAGAATAGGTCTTCAGCAACCTATGCTTGCCATAAGAGGCGACTATATTTGTTGTAAGAGGTCATTAACGGGATCGGTTGGTCAGACTCGCTGACTTGGTTGATGCATGTCATCGTTTGCCAATTGTGTGGATCGATGCTCATGATATCAGTCACAGGATTGTCTGGTCCAGACTCGATTACTAACAGACCATATCGTCATATAGCTGGAATATTGCTGAGTACAGCGTTAAACAACAAACAAATCATACCGGGTCGTAGGTTTTTTTGCCATTTCATCAGATATATATATATGTAAAAGTTTCAATGTTTGCATCGGGGTCCACATATTTATTTGCCATTTCATTAGATGCACATGTGTAAATTTCAATGTCAGCATCTTACAACTATAAAACAACATATACTGTATAACTTCAGAGTCAGAAGCGGAAGGCAGATGGTACGCCTGATGGAAGAGGCCGGCCCAAGAAGAAGAAGCCTTGAGGACGTGTGTGTTAGAAGTGAACTATTTATCCATGCTGAGTCTACTGCTAACGGCCTGGTGACTAGTATCAGCCAGTCTGCTTCTGGTCGTACCTGCATTTATGGTGTATATCATTGTCTCTCATATCTCCATGGAAACATAAAAACTCTACAGGAGATGGAAGGAGACTTGGTGCAACATTTGTGTGCCAAGCCAAGCATTGTCATTATTGTCATATGTACTTAGTTATTTTGTGTGTGCTGGAGATTGTCATCATGGGATGGTGCAGTTGTCAAGGTGATCACAGGTAATAAAGGCTGATTGTGACTTTATATGATACAGACTTTAGTAAAATGTTAATTGTCTTGAATAACATTGTTATTTAGGGGATAAAAAAGAACAAATTTGGCAGATGTCCGAGGAAGCGTTTTGGTAACGTAAGACGTTTCTTCAGATCCATCCAGCATATTTGTACCACATGGAAACATAGCTTCCACAATTCAGGCAGACCTCCGCTAATAGACATTATCTTCAGTCAGCGAAGCTGGTTTGGTTCGGTCTGATAACCCAGTTTTAAGGTCTTACCCTTTGTTTTCACAAGCTTGGACAATTTTAGGTTAACATTTAACACTACATTTTATATCTATGTAAATATTGTGTAATTTTAGGCTTGTTGATTATTTATGTCTGTTAGCTGTACGTTTTCAATGTGATCTGTCTGAGACAAGGGAGAAACTCCAATTATGAATTCTGTTCATTACTCAATACTGTGTGATGTGCACCAGTGTCATGTACCATTCATCATGGTCATATTCATGGAAAAGCAATTTGGCATCATGTTTTGAGAATAAAAGGTCTCGTGTATCAAAATAGTTCTATGTGATATTTGCTTCTTGAGATCCAGATTGGGGAAGACAAGATCACTTCTCCCTTTATCTGTTTAGGTACTAGATGACGTCTCAGGTGACCAGATTATAGTTAGTGTCTGTATGTGTGATTATATAATCAATGAGTGAGTGAGTTGGGATTAACGCCGCTTTTAACAGTATTCCAGTTATATCACGGCGTGTCAGCTTAATGTGGGAGGAAAGCCTGAAGTGATGCAGGTCTCAGATGTTTACCACTTCGGTGAAACCCACGAGCACAGGTATGGTGCTGACAAACCTAGAAACATAATCGGGGCGAACCGTGATTCGAATCCACAATCATAGGTTTCTGGCGTGCCCAAGGGACACAACTCTGCACTGGGAATCGCGGCGCCTTAGAAGACTGGGCCACCCCTGCCCCCTATAATCAATGATCTACGATTTGAGAGTATATGTGTTTCACAAAGATGCATGTGGACACAATCCCCAGTCTCTCCAGAACTGTTACTTGTTACCCGCCCTGTGCTCAGCATGAAGGGGAAGAACTGGGACAGGTCAGCTGGGGTCGTGCCCCTCTTGAAGGTTTCCATATTGGCGTATGAACATGATAACTACTTTAAACGATAACTCTTATTCTACCCGTGTCTTACAGTAAGATTGATGTGGGAGGAAAGCCTGAAGTGATGCAGGTCTCAGATGTTTACCACTTCGGTGAAACCCACGAGCACAGGTATGGTGCTGACAAACCTAGAAACATAATCGGGGCGAACCGTGATTCGAATCCACAATCATAGGTTTCTGGCGTGCCCAAGGGACACAACTCTGCACTGGGAATCGCGGCGCCTTAGAAGACTGGGCCACCCCTGCCCCCTATAATCAATGATCTACGATTTGAGAGTATATGTGTTTCACAAAGATGCATGTGGACACAATCCCCAGTCTCTCCAGAACTGTTACTTGTTACCCGCCCTGTGCTCAGCATGAAGGGGAAGAACTGGGACAGGTCAGCTGGGGTCGTGCCCCTCTTGAAGGTTTCCATATTGGCGTATGAACATGATAACTACTTTAAACGATAACTCTTATTCTACCCGTGTCTTACAGTAAGATTGATGTGGGCATTACAGCAGCTCTCTCTTACTCCTGTTTTGAAAGTATTGAACTTCTCTGATATAAATACTAATATATTCTTTTGTACAAAAGTATATTTGGCAAGACATTCATCTCATTCATTCTCAGCTGTTCATCTTTCCTTTGCAAATTATTATTTTTTAAATAAGATATTAAAATTAGATGATAAAAACTGACGAGAGACGAAGGTTGTTTTCGGATTTTAGTAATTTCAACATGAATTTCTCAGACATATTCAGTAAGCGTGGCAACGTGGTAAATTTGACATTGTCTTTTCAATGCTTGAAACACATTTTTAAAACTCATTTACTTGACTGAATCTGTCCTTTCATGGCCAAAGTTAACAAATAGTACACACATTTTATATCAATCAATTACAATAAAATTATGAAGCAATGCCATATCCACCATGTCTATGAGATGTTTAGAAGTATTTCTAAACATATGCCAGCAATATAGTGAGACTGTTAATATTCAAACGCCGTGGGGATTCCCAGTAGTTATGCTTGTCGTAAGAGGCGACTCAATGAATTGGTAGGTCAGACTCGGTAATTTGGTTGACTAGTGCCATCTACCTTGACCGCGTGGATCGTTGCTTACAATATCAATTACTGGTTTGCCTGGTGATGTCTCTATTATGTTTGAGCAGCCGTCATATAGTCATCTTCCCGAGGCAAGAGAGTTAACTGGCTTTAAAAGTCCAGTTTCTACCCTTGCCGAACTAGGCTGGAATTCCTGGGCTCGATCGTAGCGCCACCAGTGGCTATTGCGAGTTATGTCCTTTCTATGCCTCTCCTATTGACCAATCACATTCAACCTCTCGTATCACTTGCATTTGCTTCAAACAAAACGGTGGCGCCCAGTCAAGACGATCTGATTGATAATCAAGATCTCTATTGTGATAAAACGAGTCTTACATCGCGAAGTGCATCAAATCACGTGAGCACCTTGATTAAAAGCATGAAAAGATTAAGAAAATATCTGTTGACAACGAGTTAGCGGTGAACATGCTTTGCAAATCCTGTAGTCGACCGAAATCTGCATGACACTTTACGAACCGGATTTCGATTTCAGTGAGCGATTTTCGACTATGCATAGACTCGTTAGTCCAGCCAAAATATAACTCCATAATACCAGCCTAGTTCGGCAAGGGTGGAAACTGGACTTTTATAGTCGGTTGTAAGACTTGTTTTATCACAATATAGATCTTGATTATCAATCAGATCGTCTTGACTGGGCGCCATCGTTTTGTTTGAAGCAAATGCAAGTGATACGAGAGGTTGAATCTGATTGGTCAATAGGAGAGGCATAGAAAGGACATAACTCGCAATAGCCACTGGTGGCGCTACGATCGAGCCCAGGAATTCCAGCCTAGTTCGGCAAGGGTGGAAACTGGACTTTTAAAGTCAGTTAACTCTCTTGCCTCGGGAAGATGACTATATGACGGCTGCTCATACATAATAGAGACATCACCAGGCAAACCAGTAATTGATATTGTAAGCAACAAAGCGTTTGGCAATGCAGAATAATTTGTACATATGTTCAGCGAAATAATTAAAGATTGTTCGTTTCAAGATTGGCATGCATCTCTAGGCAGCAAGACCCTCTCATTCCATAAACTGCATAAATCTTATATCGTTTGTGAAAAATATTTATCAAATATTAAGCATTGTGAATATAGAAGGCTAATAACCAAATTTAGAAGTGGAGAGAATACTCTTGGTGTTCAACTTATTTATGGATTTTGTTTAAACACAGTTGTAGTTGCCTTTCAATGGTATGCATGTTTTCACCATGACAAGAAACATTAAAATCATCCACAAATAATTATCCATCAAATTGATCGTTTAAAACCTTCGACAAACTGTTTATCTTTATGCTAAACAGAGTTACAGACAAGATACTGCCTTGTGGGACACCCTGATCCTGATTGTAATGGTCAGACAGGGTTGAACCCACACAAACTTGAAATTGTCTATTTTTTAAAAACTGAGATATAAATCGAGGCCCCAAAATCATGTAGATCTTTTAGAATTCCATACTTTCACGTGGTATCATATACCTTTTCGAGATCGAAAAATATTGATACCGCGTGTTGTTTATTTATTATGGATTTTTTTATAAAAGATTCTAAACGTACTAAAGGATCGATGGTACTACGATTTTTGCGGAAACCACATTGAATGTTAATAATGAGTTTGTTGGTTTCCAAGTACCAAACTAAACGATTATTTATCATACGTTCCATAGTCTTACAAATGCAGCCAGTAAGGGATATTGGCCGATAATTAGTGGGATCGGTATGATCTCGACCAGGCTTGGGTATAGGAATGACAGTAGCATTTCGCCATGATGATGGAAAATTACCAGAAGTCCAAATATTGTCAGTGATATTGAGCATTGTTTCTAAACACGATTCAGATAAATGTTTAAGGAGCTGATAATGAATATCATCAGGCCCCGAAGCAGTATCATGAGCTTGCCCAAGGGCGGTTTGGACCTAATGAATGGAAAATACTTCATTATAATCCTCACCGTTATCTGAGTGAAAATTAAGTTTCTACTGTCGTTTATTTTGTTTAAATGTGCGACGAGCCTTGGCGTTCGAAATTTTAAATTGATTTAAGTTATGGACAGTTGGATGGCAACGAAAATATTTTGCTGCCTTCTTCCTAGCCTTTCTACCTTGTTTGCAGTCCATGTGCGTTAACGGGATTCCATATGCATTGTTTAGCATCGTGCTGACAACAACCACTCAGAAAAACAACAAAATCACGCAATTATTCAACATTACGAAATGCCACGCCTGTCCGAAAATGAGCGTCTGCGAGCCATTGGTATGCTTGAAGCAGGTTCGAGTCAACGTGATGTTGCAAGACAATTTAACGTCCACAGAAACACCATTTGGTGTTTATGGCAACGTTGGCAACAGACGAATGCAGTTAGAGACCATCCTCGGAGTGGCGGGCCACACGTAACCAATAATCGACAAGACAACTGGATTCGAACAACACACATACGAAATCGATTCCAGCCAGCAACAGTGACTGCAAGAAGCATCCCTGGCCTTCGACGAATATCTTCACAAACCGTACGTCGTCGCCTCAGATGTGCAGGGATTGTCGCCAGAAGACCTGCCAGACGTCCCATTTTGACAGGAAACCCACCGTCAAGCACGTCTACAGTGGTGCAGACAGCGTCTACGCTGGACGGCCATGCAGTGGGGACAAGTTCTATTCAGTGACGAGTTTCGTTTTCACCTCAGCCACAGCCTCAGCCACAGCCACGTTACGTCAATCATTGTATCATGGAAGAAGATCGGTTCGGGGGCGGCAGGGTTATGGTATGGGGTGGGATTACAGCAAGACAGAGGACCCGTTGGATAGTGGTAGAGGGAAATCTCAATGGACAACGCTACCACGACGAGATCATCAGTCCTGTTGTTCTACCGTTTTTGCGTCGTCATGGGCCAGGCATTACCTTTCAACATGACACCGCCCGGCCTCATATTGCTCAAATTGTTCAGGATTCTCTTCAACAAAACAACGTGAATGTCATCCCATGGCCGGCTCGCTCCCCTGATCTCTTACCAATCGAGCACATGTGGGATGAGATGGATCGTCGCCTTCGACGTCAACCACGTGTTCCACAGACACTCCAGGAACTTCGAAACATGCTCCAGCAGATATGGACAGATATCCCACAGGACTTTGTGCGACGCCCTGTCCACTCCATGAGACGAAGATGTGTTGCTTGTATCGCAACCAGAGGTGGACACACATGCTATTGATTTGTAAATTGACATTTTGGCATGTTCATGTTTTTTTTTTTATGAAATCACGCATTTTCTGAAGTCAGTATGGCAAATTAAACCATTTGAACACTTACAGGAGTCTTTTATCTGTTGCAAACCGAAATTGTTTCAGATTTGGTAAAAAACATAACTTTGCATTAAATCTTATTTAATGTCACAGGAACTTTTGTTGTTCAGTATACATATTCCCTGATTAAACAACAAGTTTGTTTTGACATTTTCCCTGAACCTAAACATGTTAAACTACCGCATGGTACGAGGGGCGTTCAATAAGTTTTGCAACTTCAATATAAGACCAACTCGCAGAATATCTTTTGCACTTTTATTTACAATATAATCTCCATTCACCTCAATACACTTATTCCATTTGTCCCTCTAGCTTTTAATACCACTTTTATAGAAATCCACAGATTGGTCCCCTAACCACGCCTCTGTGGCAGCCTTTATGTTCTCGTCATCCTGGAAGCGTCCTCCACGTAGGGCAGATTTCATTTGCCGGAACAGGAAAGAGTCACTGGGGGCTAAGTTTGGGCTGTAGGGTGGATGATTTAACTATACAGCCCAGACTTAGCCCCCAGTGCAAAAGATATTCTGCGACTTGGTTTTATATTGAAGTTGCAAAACTTATTGAACGCCCCTCGTATCTCAGTAGGTTAGCACTCTAAAACCGGCATCAGTGATCATGGCCATAACGGATACGCGACATCGTCCGCAGGTGTGGTATCAACTGAGGCCCACACACCTGGTAGGTTTACATGTTGTTTGTGTATCGTTTCTATGTATCGTTAATATGAAATGTATTAACTGTGCATATTGTATATCTAGTGTAAGCATTTGGTTATATATCGCGGCAGAACTACTTTTGACATATACATGTACATGAATGTGTATTGACTTGATCATAATAAGTATGTGTTTAAAGTATTAAACACTGACCACCATGGCCAGTGCATTTACAATACAAAACTACCTTCTGTGTTAGTATGTTTATGAAGTGATGTGTATAGATGTGTTTGTAATATATTGTTTTACATCTGTTATATTGTCTGATTGTTTCAGGGTTACTTTCATGCCATCTGCAATAAACATATTGGCGATTGACGAACACAGTAGTTGGTTGGTTGGTTTGTTGTTTAACGCCGCACTCAGCAATATTACAGCTATATGACGGCGGTCTATAAATACTTGAGTCTGGACCAGACAATCCAGTGATTGATATCATGAGCATCGATCCACGCAATTGGGATCGATGACATGCATCAACCAAGACAGCGAGCCTGACCACCCGATCCCGTTATTCGCCTCTTATGACAAGCATAGTCGCCTTTTACGGCAAGCATGGATTGCTGAAGACCTATTTTACCCCAGATCTTCACGGGTCGACGAACACAGTAGCATCTGTTATGTGTTATTACTGAAGTCTCAGCTCGACTGATTTGCTGAATTCCAAAAAGTTCTTGAATCTGGAGAGATCATGTATGCACTATATCCAAACGTGTATAAAGTGGTACGTTAGTCAGATGTTTGGCCGTTCAGGAGATAGTGATGATGGTGCTGCTTACATCTTTGCATGCCACCTTTCCAGTTGCATACTATGTTTACAGATAATAATTATTCATTATTGTATGTTCGATCTAAAAAGAGTCGAAACTACAAAACAAATATTTAAAAAATATTTGACAGAGTTGTAAAAAGATCATTGATCGGCTGGTGATTTTATTGTTAGAACAACCTGTAAAGGGAATTTCTCCAAGTCCCGCCACACATCTCACTTGTGTTTCCCCTGCAAGGTTGATTGCAGTCACTTTCCGGTTTCTTTGGATATCTGACTATGTTGATGGAATCTCCACAGAAGCAATGTGTGTAATACTGAAACAGAGAAAATAATCACTTTACATTACACACTACAAGAGAACTCTACTTGGCCAAGGGCTAAAACTAGAATAGTTCCCAGAATACATCAAAGTCTCAACGGAAGCTGTAGCTGAAGAACTGAAACAGAAAAAAAACTATGACTGTGCATCTCATAACCAAAGAACATTTTAAAATATGAAAATCTCCCCTTCACAAGGCTCATGAAATATCAAATTCAATGTCAGCAGTTAGCAAGATGCATTTTTACGTTTAAATTTTATGGCATTTGGATATGCTTAATTACAAAGCTTACCTGCAACGCTGCATACTTGTGATGACCCTTCCTGCAATTATTAAAACACCACCCATGGGTCATGTCGCTCCGATCAACCCAAATAGCAGCGATCATCCTCTTGGCGTCATCCAAGTAACATCCCATGTATTCTAAAACATCATCAGTAAAATACACTTACTCGTTTATACAAGGTGATTTTAGTGATTTATGCAACTGTATTTGTATTATTTGTTGAGTTGTTAGTTGATGTTTTATACATTTAATGAAAGAACAAGAGATATGTTTAGTTCTTATATATGTTTATGTATGGGGGGCCATAGGCTCATGTACATTTCAGTTATATATACATGTAGTAACACAATTGGGGCAATTTACATTGAAAAGAATACTTAGTGTATAATATTAGGTCTTTGTACGTAATAATAAAGCTTCCTTCACATTCTTAGCTACATTTCTGAGTATACAGCCATTTTGACTATTTGAGAGATTGCTAAAGTTATTAAACATTGATTGTTATAAAGTGTTACAGGAATATACTGTTGTCTTAATGATGCGTAAAACGGGCAGACAAAACAAAATCGACTTTGTTCTCAATACAACCATTGTAACATAGCCGACAAAAGCATTGTGAATAAACAATATCCTCTCTTCTGCCCAGATTACTCCATATAGGTAATCTCAACAGGCACAGTATACGTCTATGGTCTCTGAAAGCTGTAACATAATATTCCATATCCAATAACATCTTAAGGTGTGAATAAAACCTTAAATTACAGGACTCTGAACAGCTGCAAGAAACAATTAACATCACCAATATTCAGCCCGTGCCACACCAAATCAATGATTGTCGACTAAATATTTAACATGAGTTGCCCAAGTAATTCTACCACATTCATCCAGCTTCTTCATTTATAAATTACACTGTCGGGGATATCCTTCATCATTCATTCTAATAGCCAGTATTTAACACACTTCATATAATATTCCACAGGCAAACCATATCTTCCACACTCAGGCAATATTGCTGTGCTTTATACATATTTACCAACTCCTAAAACAAATTTACAAAAATGAAAAGTTTTGACATTTTGACCAGCTTTGCAACCCCAGATCTCCGCACCATAAAGAAGAATGGGCTTTGTCATAATATCAAATAATATGAATAAAATGTTAACTGGTATACTTACAAAGTGAAACTGCATTTTTTTAATGGCAAACAGAGCCTTATTGGCTTAAATCCTGAGGGTATCAGTGTATTTAGTTCAAGACAATCTATTTGAAAACAGAACACCCAGATAACTAAGAGTGCTACCTCTTCTGAAAATCAATAGTTCGGTTTTAGACATGTTAATTTCAAGTCCCCCACATTTTACCAAAAATTGGACAAAATGTCAATTTTTCTCTGCAGACCTATAACTGTGTCATCGAATATACACAAATCATCTGCATATTGTAAAAGTAATATGTCCATGAACTCCCTTCCAATAAAAATCCCTCGCAAATCACTACTTTCTATCATAAACTGTAATTCAAGGATAAACGGACTCAACACACACCCCTGTCGAACGCCGCTCGGTGATTCGAAATAATCTGAAAGAGAGTCATTTGATGTCCTGACAGCACACTGAATCTTAGAGTATAGATCCTTCAAAACCACCAATAAACGACCGTGTAATCCATTTTTTCATTATTGAATACCAATAGAGTTTTCGGTTAATAAAATCGAATGCTTTTCGGAAATCAACAAACAAACAATAAAATCTTCCCCGACGTTTAGAGAGATATTTTTGTCCTAAACACTTTAATGTTACTCTATTATCAATTGTACTTACTGTATCTGCTTCGAAATCCGACCTGAGCTTCAGGAATTGTGTCATAAGCTTCCGCAAAAGTCTTGAGTCTTTCATTTAAAGCTGTAGTCATCAAGTTTCAAAATACATCCATCAGCGTTATTCCTCTATAATTATTGACATCATTTATATTATCTTTCTTATGCAGAGGAACTACTATACACTTTGCCTAGTCGTAAGGGAATACGCCGCTATGCATAATCCTATTAAAAACTATCCGGTCCTACTAATTTACCCAGTTTCAAGTTATGTATAGCTGATGATACTTCTTCTTCAGTTATATCAGCATTTAGGAGATTATTTATAACATCATCATTACAGTAATTGCACTCATTAATATCATGGCTGTTCATAAAAATTCTGTCTCATCCAGATTGTCCCCAACCACAGGTATATCAGTTAAATTAAACACATGCTGGAAATATTCGGTCCAGAGATTTGTTTATGCAAGATTGGTCAGATTGTATATCTAATTCACCAAGACTAGATATATATTGCATCCACAAATCCTTACTACACCTGAAAAATATCTATCATTGATTAGAACTGTAAATTTAATAAGAGCTTTAACAAAAGTTAGATGCTGTTTAAATGATTTTAAAATACATAAATATGTCTAGTGACTATGAATTTGCTGACAGTCTATGCAATTTCTGTAAAGAAGACTTAGATGATGAATACCGTGCACTGTTTATATGCCCAGCTTCTACTAACTTAAGGTTAAGGTATTTGCCCTCGTATTGTTATGAATATCCTACACTGTACAAGTGTGTATCGTTACTCATAACAAATGATGGCAGCATTTAATTTCAGCGAGCTCTTTATCTTGAAAAAATGTTTAAACTTAGAAGTTCCTAAGCCAATATAAATTCAAGCGCTCTGTCACAATGTACCAAATATTATTCGCCATCTGTACTACTGGCCTAATGGCCAGACTATACCAAATAAATTCTGTTATTGTTTTGTCAGTATCGTCTTTCCTCCTCTACTTTAACATTTTCATTACATTTAATTTTTGTCATAATGTAATCAATATATATACTATATTTGCAAAAAAAATTTTTTTATTAAATGTGTTTCCTTATTTCTTTTGCTATCAATATGTGTCGTGTTGACTATACGAACATAAAGTCTTTAAGCCGTATACAGTAAACTACATGTACGGTTGTACAGAACTCGAAGGGACCATTAAGTTTAGTTCGTAATAAGCATACATGTATATATAGCATTTATACAACAAATGGTCGGGACTAAAAAATATATTCGGTCAGTTCGTTATAAGCGTGTTCGTTATAAACGTAGTTTACTGTATATACTGTTTCTAATACATTGCTCTCATGTTGTTGCAAGAACATATTTGGGTAAATCAGTCCATGTATGCTACTCCTCAATGATAATCATATACCATATCTGGAACGAGTGGAACGACACGTATTGTCATGTTTCTTTGAGAAATGTTTCTCTGGTTATAACCAAGAACAGTAGAAACATGCACATGATATTGAAACATGTATTCATTTGTAATAAATATATAAACATCTTCTGTAGCTTATATGCTGTACAAACCTTTGTTCAAATGTATGTCAATGAACATCATTCAAGTCATCCACCACTTCACAACTTATCAAGAAGAATGCGTTTATGTTGAATATGTAATTAGGGGATAAACACGGCCCCTTAGGAAAGGGTTAGTTTCCTATTTCCGACATCTATATTAACGCTTCAGTAAACAAGGGATGGTTGTTGTAACAAAATGATAAATTTGTTACATTATTTTTTAAATAACTAATTACCTATTTAATCATGAATAATCTAATAACCTCCTATTAATATGTATTTGATATACATATATAAATATATATTTCATATTCATATATGTGATATTGTGTTGCGGACAATTTAGTCTACGTCTATTTGCAATATTTACAAATTTGATTGTGACAGACCCAGATAGCTCATACTTCAATAAAGACAACAATAATATAAAGACATTTCACACTTTCGATTTTAAATATCTATGTTCAACTGAAATATTAGAATAAATAAAGTGAACATGCAACTAAAGAGATGGCTGAATTTGCTCAGGTCATTTATATTGTCCATTGTGTTCATGGCCCATGTCAAAAGTAAACACTTAAGTTTGGTTTGTTTACCAAATGATAGCTTTTATTAACTAACTATAAATCTGTCTTCGTTGGACATTGCTCTTGGGTATAAATTTGATGTATACCAGCTAGTACTGATATATATACAGTAAACTACGGTTGTACCGAACACATTGCTCTCATGTTGTTGCAAGAACATATTTGGGTAAATCAGTCCATGTATATATATATATATCTATCTATATCTATATCTCTCTCTCTCTCTCTCTCTCTATATATATATATATATATATATATATCATCATCACACATATGTATATGTATCATCAAATGTGTTTACATCTATATATTAGTATTATATCTACTTGTATTCCACTTTATAATGTCACAGTATATCGAATTTTAAGAAAACTGGTCAGTTCAAGTGAAGCACTTTTACTGTAATTTCTTAACAATATATCTATCACACGCGTTCGGTCCGACATGGCCCAACCTGTCAAAATCCCCTTAAACCTCACAGATGTATCTTCAAATGTGTTTACACCTATAGCCTAGTATCATATCTACCTATATACCACTTTATAGTGTCTCAGATAGCGGTATTTAAAGAACATAAGGTGTTCAAAGTGAAGCCCTTTTCCCTCTACATTCTCAACATAGTCTCTATCAGAAGTGATTTGGATCCGACTTGGCCTGGGCTGTCAAAATCAACGCAGATGTATCATCAAATGTGTTTACATCTATAGATTATAGTCACTTCTGATAATACTTCCGGGTGACTCAAAGACTCGGCTCCACTTCGATATGCGATATGTGCAAATGCGGTGTCAGAGAAACGTTTTGCAAGAGGAACCCTGCGTTTCTGCGTTTGAAAAAGAAAGAGCCACGTGGTTGAATGTTATATGTATACATTGTAACGAAGCAACTGATAGTATTACTAAAACAAGAAACTAATACTGGTATGGTTAGCCAAAACCTCGCGTGCAAGGAATGATATAAGGACTTACTTGGGAATCCAGTACCAGGACTGTAAACCTTTATGTAACCAAGAAAGCTGCTGCCGCCAAGGTTCGCAGTGACGTGCACTGCACTGACAATCAGGCAAACTACAGCAGTTGAAACCAAGACGTTCATTGTCACTGTGATTCGAGACCCAGAGTGTACTTGCAACTGACGCTGATTCAGTATCGATGGCAACTTATATAGATACCTCCAAATAACGGCCTTCTGATTGGTCCACGTGAGGTTTTACCACTGAAAGTAGTCGCCTATTCTATATGGTGAAGTGACATTCCCATCGATTTGTAAACAGGTG